CCATGTGTGTGTGTGTGTGTGTGTGTGTGTGTGTGTGTGTGTGTGTGAGTGAGGCAGGCATTTGGGGGAGATACGCATGTACCCCAGAAGAGAGAAAAACAGAGACACACAAGTAGCTCAGGGTAACCTCAAGCTCATTATTAGCCAAAGCCAAACTTGAACTTCTAATCGTCCTGTCCCCACCTCCTGTGTTCTAGATTATAGACATGTACCTCCAGGCCCAGTTTATGCTGTGCTGGGGATGCAATCCGGGGCTTCCTGTGTGCTTCCAATTGAGCTACATCCATAGCCCTGGATTCTGTTTTCCCATGTATGTTCCTTGGAATGGTGATGCACACCTATGGGTACCAGCTACTGGGACACTGAGGCAGGACTGTCATGTGAGCCCAGGAATGTTGCTACCTTGGCAACATAATTGAGATCCTACTTTTAAAAAAATTCACCTTAAAATTTCTATACATTTTGGAGACAGGTTCTCTCTACATAGCCCTAGCTGTCCTGGAACTTGATATATAGATCAGGCTGGCCTTGAACTCAGAGAGATCTGCCTGCCTCTGCCTCCTCAGTGCTAGGATTAAAGGTATGTGCCGACACCCAGCTCAGTAATACCAGCTCAGTAATATATATTGGTTTTTCGAGACAGGGTTTCTCTGTAGCTTTGGAGGTTATCTTGGAACTCACTCAGTAGACCAGGCTGGCTTCAAACTCACAGAGATCCTCCTGCCTCTGCTTCCCAAGTGCTAGGATTAAAGGCCACCACTGCTGGGCTTCAATAATATTTTTATTTGTGTCAAGTGTACAAATTCCAGGTATATCCATTTTACAATGGAGAACAATTTGAGAATTAATTCATATGATTTTTGAAGAATCTAAATTTTGCTTTCCTTTTAGTTAAGTTTTACTTTTTCTCACTTTTGGAGACAAGGTTTCTCTGTATTGCTTTGGAGCCTGTCCTGGAACTCCCTCTGTAGACCAGGCTGGCCTAGAACTCACAGAGATCCACCTGCCTCTGCCTCCAGAGTGCTGGGATTAAAGGCGTGCACCACCAACACCGGGCATTTTTTTTTCTTTCTTTTGAGATAGAATGCCTTTCTTTCTGGGGCTAGTCTGAAACTCCACATCCTGCCTTAACCTTGCTAGTAGTTACATTTTTAAATTCTTTGTTGTTGATTTCAAAACAGGGTCTCTCTGTGTAGTCCTAGCTGTCTTGCTCTGATAGCCTTGAACTATTTTTTAGATTATTTTTTAAAGATTTATTCATTTATATATTTTAAGCCGGGCGTTGGTGGCTCACGCCTTTAATCCCAGCACTCGGGAGGCAGAGGCAGGCAAATCTCTGTGAGTTCGAGGCCAGCCTGGTCTCCAGAGCGAGTGCCAGGATAGGCTCCAAAGCTACACAGAGAAACCCTGTCTCGAAAAACAAAACAAAACAAAAAGTTCATTTATATATTTTATGTGTATGGGTATTTTGTCTACGTGTGTATGTACACCAGAAGAGAGCATCATATCCCATGGAACTGCAGTTACAGATGGTTGTGAGCTACCATGTGGGTGCTGGGAATTGAACTCTGAACCTCTGGAAGAGCAGCCAGTGTTCTTAACTGCTGAGCTATCTCTCCAGCCCTGATTTTTAAATTCTTAACTGAAAATAAACATTCATGTTTTTTCCTAATTAAAAACATTTTAAATTTTTCATTCAAATTGAGAGTAGAAAATTTTGGGTTTGTAGCCTGGCATGGTGGCACACACCTTTAGTTCCAGCACTCAGGAAACAGAGACGGGTAGGTCTCTATGAGTTCAAGAGGTTGGTCTTGGTCTCATAGTGATTACAAGGACAGCAAGGGTTACATAGAGAAACCTTGTCTCAAAAAATCTGTGTTTGTTTGGTTTTGTTTTGTTGTTGTTTTATTCTTGGATTCTGCATTAGTCCAGGCTGGCTTGAAAACTGTTCTCAAATCTCAAATCTCCCTAGTGCCAAGATTACATGTGTCACTAGGCAGTGTTGTCACATGCCTTTAATCCCAGCATTTGGGAGGGAGAGGCTGATGGATCTCTGCATTGAAGGCCAGCCTGGTTTGTTCCCAGGGCAAGTTCCAGGAGGACAGCCAGGGATACACAGAGAAACTCTGTGTGGGAAAAAAAAGATTACATATGTCCGCTATCATGCCCTCTTTGGTTTCTTTTTACATAAAAAAGAACCTCCTTGCTCCAGCCTCCCAAATACATGAGATTACAAGCCAAGCTCCACCATGCCAGGCTTTCTTTAACATTCCTAAAACATTTTAGGGATGGATGTGGTGGCACATGCTTTTAGTCCCAGCACTCAGGAGGCAGACAGGTGAATTTCTGTAAGTCTGAGGCCATCCTGGTCCACATAGTGAGTTCAAGGCCAGCCAGGACTATGTAGAGACACCCCCATCTCAAAACAAACAGACAAAAAATACTTTTTTTCTAGGAGTGTAGAGCCCTCAGTGGTAGAGCCCTTGTGTACCATGCTTAGAAAGTGATCCTTAGCATCCAAAAACAAAAATGTAAGCATTGTAGATATTCACTGCAAAATTCACAAGCGATCATTTTCATTTATTCATCAACTATCTCCTCAAAGCATATCAAACATGGATACAATATATTTTATTTTTTTTCCTCCAGGTTTTTCTCCCTGAGACAGTGAACTCACTGTAGACAAGGCTGGCCTTGAACTCACAGATCAGCCTATCTCTGCCTCCCGAGTGCTGGGATTAATGTTGTGTGCCACTACACCTGCCTTCCCCCAGTTTTTTAAGCACACGGTGTCTTCATTCTTTTTTTTTTCTTTTTCATTGCAAGAGTTCAACATGGTTTATTCTGTCCTTTATTGGTAGACACTCAGATTTTCAATGTTTTCATATTGCAAATGACTTAGATGACAAGCATAACCCACCACATCATCTTGTCTTTAAAATGACTTTTTTTTTTTGTTGCTGCTGGAAAGCAAAACACAGGTCTTCCTGCATGTAAACACACACCCTCCCATCAAGCTATACACTCAGCCCCTTAAAATGATCTTTAAAGAATAATTTAAAAAAACCAAACTTTATCTGGTTACTCTTTGTAAATACCTAGACCCTTCTGTGACTTAGGGTTATGAGGAAGTACCAAATTTCCCTGGGCAAAGGATGGGTTTTCCTGAGAGACTGTATCCTGGAATTTCAGAACCATGACCTCTTTCTCTCCCACAGGGCTACGGCATGGCATATACTGTCCACAAGTGGTCAGAGCTCAGCTGGGCCAGTCACTGGGTCACTTTTGGATGCTGGATCTTCTACCGTCTCATAGGCTGAGGCATATGACCTTCATAATTCCCTTCAAGACTCCTCCTTAGGGTACCAGCCCAAATGAGGGAAGACCCTTTCTCTTCTCCTTGACCCCTCTCCATTCTTGAGCCCCAGCACCCCTACACACAAACACACACAGCCTTTCCATGCCTGTCAATCCCCACCCCACCACCAGGCGGGAAGGAGGTGGGGCCTAGGAGTGGTAGATACTTGGTGAAGCAGAGAGGAGCAGATCTAGGGTCCTCCCCGCCTGTCTTCTCCCTTTTTATATGCAGTTTGTTATTATCAAATAAAAGTGGAAATGCACAATAGGCTCGTTCTTCACTGGTCGGAGGGGAAGATGAGAAAGCAAAGAATGTACAGCACCGATGAGGGTTGGGAAGCTGAAAGTCCTGTGGGAGGGAAGCCGATTATGATCTGTTTGCGGTGAATTTAAGATTGTTCATGACTGGCTAAAGGGTTCAGGATGGCAGTGTCCTGCCATTGCTTATGTGGAACAGGAACAGATTGGGGCAAGGGGATTAATAATAAATGATAAAGAATTGAGGGATCCCTATTCTGATTGGTTGCTCAGATTAGGAGAGGGGGAGGGCAAGACGTGAAGGGTAGATTCCTATTGGTCCTCAGGACTAAGGGTTGCAGGTTATAAATAAATCGAGTCTGAGAAAAGTCTGTTTTCTGACTGAATGTTGGCGAATTGCCGACTGGCTGGTTTAGCGTCATACTTCTGTTTTGCTCTTAAGAACTGGCACGTAGCCGGGCGTTGGTGGCACATGCCTTTAATCCCAGCACCCTGGAGTCAGAGGCAGGCGGATCTCTGTGAGTTCGAGGCCAGCCTGGTCTCTAGAGCGAGTGCCAGGATAGGCTCCAAAGCTACACAGAGAAACCCTGTGTCCAAAAACAAAACAAAACAACAACAAAAGAACTGCACTCAGGAGGCAGAGACAGGAGGATCTCTGTGAGTTCGAGGCCAACCTGGTCTCCAGACTGAGTGCCAGGATATGTTCCAAAGAAAAAAAAAAAAAAAAAAAAAAAAAAAAAAAAAAAAAAAAAACTGGCACTTATCCCACTACTTGAGAGGCAGAGATAGGTGAGGTGGGTCTCTGAGTTCGAGGCCAGTCTGGTCTATAGAGCAAGTTTCAGGGCAGGCTCCAAAATAATAAAGAGAAACCCTGTCTCAAAGAAAAAAAAAAGAAGAAGAAGAAGAAGACCTGGCACGGTTGAGAATCTCCACACCAATTGGTCAGCAGGAGCAAGGGTTCTGGGTTCTGAATAGTTTCGATTTGAAGTAGGGACTGGTGAGGATGGCCGCTGCTGTTAGAACTGGGGAGTTCTGAACTCAGGTGGGCACTTGGTTTGTGCGGATCTACCTGTCATAGTTTCTTTGCATTCGGACTGAGGCTGGGCCTGGGAGCTGATTGGTTGCCTAGAAAACTAAGAGATAGAGGGCCATTCATTAGCAAATGTCGAGGGTTTATCACTTCATTATCCTCATCTCCTGCAATTGATAAGAGGGCGAGGAAATTGAAGCTCAGAATAAAGTAGATTTCCTGCTGGGAGGGTTCAGGTCTCCTCCCCACTCCTGATTTAGTCTCAGCCAACAGGGGAGATGGCACCACGGTCGAGGACAGGGCTTGAGATGTACGGAGGACTCCTATTGGCAGGAACAACCTCCTCCACTTCACCATTGGTCCGCCCCATTAGGCGGGGAAGTCGCGAGGGCTGGACAAAACTGGGGCTGTTTGGGAGCCATAGGCGCTGACTGGCAAGTCCGAAGCCGGTGCTAAGAAGTCGCTCTGAGATCGCGCCGCTTAGGTGAGTGCCCTCCGCCCGCCAGCGTGCCCGAGTCCCCACACGTGCCCACACCCTCCACGACAGTCGCCTGCATGCGAGCCCTGCCCTACCCCGCGGAACCTGGGCCCTAAAGCGGTTGTCCAGACGATGGAAGACTCGCCTTCTCGTTGGGCATCTGCAGTGAAAGGTTCTGGTTGTGATTGGTGGTGTTTGGGCTTGGGGCAGCTGCAGCGGAATGTTCTGTTTGTGATTGGTGGTGTTTGGGCTAGGTTCCCCTTTCTCCCGGTTAGCGCTGCCGGAGAGACCCTGCCTTTGCTGTTCATTTTGGGTTGTTGGCGGCACGGCACACTAATTGCCTGGAGTCTTTGACTTCTGGAATGTGATGCTGGGGGCTGTAGCTCTGATTGGTGGTCTCTGCATCTCCCCCCCCCATACCCTCCGCCGCCAGCTGCATTTCCTGGACCCCAGGATAGCAGTAGCTTCCAGCTGAATGATCCCAGCCACTGTCTCCCGCAGTGGACTCAGGCTATCTGTGGTCCTGTATCTTTCCACCAAACTGAGCCCCAAGTGCTGGGATCCGGCTTGCTGACAGTGACTATCCCACCAGACTGTAACCAATGCGGTCCGTGGGCAGGACTGATCTCTTTGTGTCCTTCACTAGATTGTGACCCCCTGAGGGCTGAGTCTGTGACTAGTAACAGGAAATACAACACATTGTAGCGGGCAGTGCGCCTGCTGATGCCCCCTTGGAGCCTCAGGGGCCTCTGCTTTGGTTCACCCGAGGCCTTGAAATCTGTGATGTAAGAAAATGTTAGAATGTATTACAGTGAAGCAGTTGTGAGTTTATCAAAGCAGAAAGCTGCACTTGACGACAGTGTTAGGATAAGAACGCACCTCCTCTCCCAGCGGAAGCTATCTTATCTAATTTGGGGCTCTTGGGAAGCTACTTAATCTCTAAGTTTATTTGTTTGAATACAGGATCTTGCTGTGTAGCTCTGACTACCCTGGCACTTGCTATATAGACCAGGCTATCCTGGAACTCAATCCTTCAGCCTCAGCCTCCAGAATGTTGGGATTTCAGGCATGTGCTACCACATATTGTCATAACTAACTTGAAAAATTAGGGAAAGTATGTGCTTGTGTCTTTCCTTTTTTTTAAAGCCGCTGTCCTTGAAGATCAGATTTCAGTATAGCATACAGACTTGCAGGTGAAGAAGGCGGAGAACATGTTGGTCAAAGCATCCTTACACACGTTTGGCAAGGACTTTGGATTTAAGTCCATTAGCCGGTTTTGACAGTTTTGTTTTTGCTGTTTTCCAAAAACAGGGCATAGTTCTTTTACAGGTGGACTGGCTAAGTATGTCAAAAATCCCTGACATAATTCCCAGAGAGCCAGGAGGACCTTTTCCCTTCTCATGCCCGCTCTATTTCCTAACTAGCTCTTCAGTCTTACCAGTCTCCAGCCAGGTCCATTTCTTATTGTTATGCCTCCCAGAGGCCTGGGACAAGCCTTTATTATTTATGCAGGTTCATATTTTAGTTGTTGTTTTTTAAGATTAATTTTATCTTATATGTATGAGTGTTTTTCCTGTATGTATGTATGTATCCACAGAAGCAAGAAGGTGTTGGATCCCCTGGAACTGGAGTTACTGATGGTTGTGAGCCACCATGTGGGTGCTGGGAATTGAACCTAGGTCCTCTTCGAGAACAAGTGGTCTAAACCAGTGATACATCCCTCCAGCCCCAGTTATATTCTTGAAATGGCTCAAAATTAGGGTTTTTTATTTTTCTTTTTTCCCCACCCCTCCCTCTGAGACAGGGTATCACTGTGTAGCCCTGCCTGACCTGGAACTCACTATGTACACCAGGATGGCCTCAAACTCAGAGATCCACATGCCTTCAAGTGCTGGGGTTAAATGCCTGCAACAGTAGGTCTAACTAAAATTGACCTGTTTTCAATCCAGTCTTACAGTAATTCTGTCAAATAATAGATCCAGTTCATTTACATTTCTTGTTGCAAACTATTTGGATTTGGTTTAATTATCTCACCATGTGCTTTCTGTTTGCCCAGGTTTTTCTGTTCCTTTTTTTCTTCCTGTTTATCTCCAAGCAGCCAGCGGCCCATAGAAACATGACCACCAATATGGGCCCCTTACATCCATACTGGCCCAGGCACTTGAGGCTGGACAACTTTGTGCCTAATGACCTCCCTACCTGGTATATCCTGGTTGGCCTGTTCTCCGTCTCTGGGGTCCTAATTGTGACCACTTGGCTGCTGTCCAGTCGAGCTTCCGTTGCCCCACTTGGAAAATGTCGTCGACTGGCCCTGTGCTGGTTTGCTGTGTGTGCATTCATTCACCTTGTGATCGAGGGTTGGTTCTCTTTCTACCATGGCATCCTTCTTGAAGACCAAGCTGTCTTATCCCAACTCTGTGAGTCCTGAGTTCTTGTACTGTGGGAGGGAATTTTCTGGGTACAGATTAGTTTTGGTATTTAAACCCACACCCCACCCCCGTGTTTGTTTGCTTGCTTGCTTGCTTCCTTTCTTTTTTATTCTGTTAACTTCCTTTTAAAGCCTAAGCAGTTGTTATCTATGCTGGGATTGTTTTGTTTTAGTTTTTAGGGTTTAGTAATTTTGGGCTGGGCAGATGGCTCGGGGTTAAGAACATTAGCTGTTCTTGCAGAGGACCCAGGTTCAATTCCCAGCACCCATATGGTGGCTCACAACTCTCTGTAACTCTAGTCCCAGGGATCCAATGCCATCTTGTGGCCTCTGAGGTTACTGAACTTACACACACACACACACACACACACACACACACTTGAAAATAAATAAAATAGGGCTGTAAAGATGGCTCAGTGGTTAAGAGCACTTACTGCCTTCCAGAGAACCTGAGTTCAATTCCCAGCACCCACATCAGGCATTTCACAAATGCCTGTAAACTAGCTCCATGGGATCTGAGACCTCTTCTGGCTTCCAAGTACTGGTATATATGTGACACACACATGGACATACCCCTAAGTCAAAATAAATTAAAAAATAAAATAGTTAATTTTATTTTATGCGTATGAGTGTTCTCGTGCCGTGTGCATGCCTATGGAGGCAGGAAAAAGGAACCAGATGGTGAAACTGGAAATAGGGATGGCTAGGCTTTTTCAAAATCCTTTTTTGAATTTTTAAAATTAATAATATTAAATTTAGTTTCATGTGCATGGGTGTTTTACCTACCTGTATGTCTGTATACTGCATGTATTCAATACCTGCAAAGACCAAAAGAGGGAATTGGGACCCCACAAGGCTGGAGTTAAAGAGGATTGTGAGCCACCATGTGAGTACCCTGTCTTCTGGAAGAGCAGTCAGTGCTCTTAACTGCTGAACTATCTCTCCCAGCCCAAAATGCACTCATGACATTCATTGCTCATCATAGGCTTTTTTCTTTTTCTTTTTTCTTTTTGAGTCTGGGAACTTGCTATGTAGATCAGGCTGGCCTTAAACTCACACAGATCAGCTTCTGCCTCCCAAGTGCTTGCGTTAAAGGTCCCCCCCCAACAGTTAGGGGCAGTTAGGGACCGGTGTAAGCCTCCATACAGACACTGAACCCAGGTCTCCTGCAAGAGCAGCAAGTGCTTTATCCTCCATTGAGCCCTCTATCCACCCCCACAACTTCCTTGTTTGTTTGTTTTGAGACAGATCTCACTGCATAACTTTGGCTGGCCTGGAACTCTCTATGTAGACCTCGCCGGTCTTGAACTCACAGAAATTCTCCTGCCTTTGCCTCCCAAGTGCTGGAATTAAAGGTCTTTGCCACCACACCCAGCCTGTTAACTTTTTAATCACACATATATTCACATGAGTCTATATCCAACCATTTAAAGAAATATACAGTGAAAATCTACCTTCTGTCTACCATGTTTCTCCCAAACTCCAATATTTTAGGAGCAGGGGTGTAGCTCAGTTGTAGAGCATCCTGAGTTCCATCCCTAACATCAAAAAAGTAAGTTTATTTATGTATAAGCTATACAAATAAGCCTCCATTTACTTGACTGTAAAAGGGGACAATAGTAAATACCATACATATTATGTAAGGCACTTAGAATTGTAGCTAGCAGTAAGTGCTCTCTAATGATTCGTGTTTATTCTTTATTTGGGGGGGGTCCAGACAGGGTTTCTCTGTCACCCTGGCTGTCCTGGAACTCACTCTGTAGACCAGGCTGGCCTCGAACTCACAGAGATCCGCCTAGCTCTGCCTCCTAAGTTCTGGGACTAAAGGTGTGCACTGCCACTGCCTGGCAGCCATCTTCTGTTTTTTTTGTTTTGTTTTGTTTTTTTGTTTGTTTGTTTTTCCAGACAGTATCTCATGCAGTCTGTGCTGGCCTCTAAATATCAGCTATGTAACTAACTAAAAGATGAACTTGAACTTCTGATCCTCCTGCCTCTACCTCTCAAGTGCTGATTACAAACATGCACCATCATTCAGGGCCGTGGCGGCAGATGCTTTTAATCCCAGCACTCGGGAGGCAGAGACTTGGATCTCTGTGAGTTCGAGGCCAGCCTGGTCTACAAAGCAAGTTCCAGGACAGGCTCCAAAGCTACAGAGAAACCCTGTCTTGAAAAAAGATACACCACCACATCTGACTTTCTCCATTATATATGCCTCCTTTTATACCTTATGCCTTGGGTGCCATGCAGTCGTAGCACCATTGTTGTGTATCAGTCTATACAGTCTACACAAGCCTTAAAACCAAAGCTCCTATCTCCATTGTACAGTTGAATGACCTGAGGCATAGGGATATTATAAAGTTTGTTGTCACCATGTAGTGGTGGTGCATGCCTTTAATCCCAGCACTTGGGAAGCACAGGCAGGCAGATCTCTGTGAGTTCAAGGCCGGCCTGGTCTACAGAGTGAGTTCCAGGACAGCCAGAGCTGTCCTTGTCTCAAAAAGCCCCATAGTTTGTTGTCATACAGTGATTATCAGAAATATGAGTTCCTTTTCCTGACTTGATTCTTCTTGGATCTGTTTGCCTCAGGGAAAGAGTATTCCAAGGGAGACAGCCGATACATCCTGTAAGTACTTTGCAGGGGAAACCTGCATTGACGTGGGGCAGTGGTGAGCTGGGGACACTAACCAGTTGTTCTGTGGGCTGAGTACAATTGATGCCAGTGTCCATCTTTTCTCTTGCAGGAATGATGGCTTCATCATCACTATGGAGACTGTCACAGCTTTTCTCTGGGGACCGCTCAGCCTGTGGGTAGTGATTGCCTTTCTCCACCAGAAATCCTTCCGCTTTATCCTACAGCTCGTGGTCTCTCTGGGTGAGAAGAAAACCTATACCTGCCACTACAAGGGTTAATGGGGGAATCTATAGATACAGGCACATCCCTGTGGGTGAGATCTTATAAGTGTCCATTCAGGGGTGAGATGTGCTAAATATCCTTGGTATTCTGAAACATCCAAATCTCTCTCTCTCTCTCATCTCTCTTCTCTCTCGCTCCCCCCTCTCCCTCTCTCTCTCTCTCTCTCTCTCTCTCTCTCTCTCTCTCTCTCTCTCTCTCTCTCTCTCTCTGGTTTTTCGAGACAGAGACAGGGTTTCCCTGTGGCTTTGGAGGCTGTCCTGGAACTAGCTCTTGTAGACCAGGCTAGTCTTTACCTCCCAGTGATTCACCTGCCTCTGCCTCCCGAGTGCTGGGATTAAAGGCGTGCGCCATCACCTCCCGGCTCTCCATCAGTGTCTTATGAAAGTTACTTGATATAGTCCATGCTGCCCAAAGTTCCTGGGTCCTCTAGGATCAGGACCTAAAGTGTTAGCTCTTTTTCCTTTGCATATACGAGCTCTCTTTAGTCCTGAAATCCCAAGTTGTCATGAATTCTAGGATTTTATACTCGCCTTCAATTCTAGATCTACGAGGTCTCCTGAGTTGAATTCTCCATGCTCTTTCTGGGTGTGGAGGTACATGCTTGTAATCCTAGCATTCAGAAGACTGAGGCAAAATGATTGTGAGTTTGAGATCAACCTAGGCTACATACCAAGACACCTCTCTGTCTTTCTTCTTTCTGTCTCTCTCTCTGTGTTTCTGTCTCTCTCTCTCACTCACGTGCACGTACACACACACACACACACACACACACACACACACACACACACACACACACACGGGAGGGAAGGAGGGTTTAAGGGAAGAAAGATTTCCCACACTGATTTCTGCAATTTGTACTTTGTTATCTCAGATACCCAGCTTCAGTATCAGAATTTGGGCTGGGCTCTGAGTCCTTGAGATATGACTTGGCAAATGCCATGGGAGAGAGCCTTGGCTTAGTTTCCTTGTCCTCACAAGGGCTTTTTCTTCTCTTTCCTCCCACAGGCCAGATGTACGGGGATGTGCTGTACTTCCTGACAGAGTATCATGATGGATTTCAGCATGGGGAGCTAGGCCACCCCCTTTATTTCTGGTTTTACTTTGTTTTCTTAAATGGCATATGGCTGGTGGTACCTGCAATCCTCATCTTTGATGCCATAAAGCATCTCACTCATGCCCAGACCAATCTGGACAGCAAGGTCATGAAAACTAAGAGCAAGCATAACTAAAGAGCAGTATAGTGGGCCGGAACACCACTGATGAGGCACCCTGCCCACCTCCCAGAAGATTCAAGCCCTCCTCCCACAAGTTGGAGGGTCAGAACTATCTGATTTGTCACACTCAGGCTGATGATGGGTACAAAAAGGGCCAGTGGGGGAAAGTAGGGAATGTGTGGGGAACCATTGAAGAAAAGATATGAGAAGGTGGAGAAGGGGTGTCCACGATGGTGGCAATTTTCAAAACCGGGTAATAAAATATCTTTATAACACTGAGAGATATTTAATTCCTAATCCTAGCAATGGCATGTAACTAACCTCACAGACTTCTCCCATCACTTAATCAATCATCCATAGGCTTCCATCATCACATAGATATCCCATGTCTGACCTTACAAACCCTTAACACTAATTCCACACATTCCCATGATTTACCCTGTAGAAGCTTGAACACAGACCTTGCTTCAAGGTCACCCTGTCACTTATCCCATAAGTCCTGCCAGTAACCCTGTAGTTACCTTATATTAGATTGGACCACCATAACAAAATGATATGGATTGAGCATTAAGCAACAGACATGGAAGTTCTCAGTACTGGAGCTGGTCAGTAGGTGTCGGAAGGTTTGGCTTTTTTTTCCCTGAAGCCTCTTTCCTAGCATTGCATTCTGTGTTCTCACATTTCCCTGTGTGCTTAGCTTCTGCTATTGGTATGTGAGCAACTTTCCTCTTAGGACACCATTCAGATTGGATTAGGGCCCATTGGACCAGCCTCATTTTTTTTTATTTAGAGAATACTTTATTAGTTTTTGTAATCAAACCCACGTAGATAAGACCTTACATATTTAATACAGTGCATTACCCCTGTACGAATGGAAAAAAATTAAGTTCAACATTTCTAGATCAATATGGATGTTAATTTCTGTACAATGCCAACTCAACACGGTAAACTGAGATACTTTTTTCCAAAGTTGACAGCACAGCTAAAGTTTCCAAAAATTCAAATTACACACACACATATATATATATATATATATATATACATAAAAAGACCAATAATAGCAGTATGTTATGCATCAACAGCTTTTCCAGGTTCTGCAGTCATTTGAGAGACCAGGCTCATTTTTAACTTCCTCACATCTTTTAAAGCCTCTATCTCCAGGGGGCTGGAGAGATGCCTTAGTGGTTAACAGCACTGACCGCTCTCAGAGGTCCTGAGTTCAATTCCCAGCAACCACATGGTGGCTCACAGAATAAAATCTGGCACCCTCTTCTGGCCTAAAAAGACACTATCTCCAAGGTTCCGGAAGTAAAGCCTTGACTACATGAACTTGAAGAGGACACAGTTCAATCCATAACATTCCTGCCCGCTAGTCTCCCTAAATCCACATCTTTCTTGTATGCAAACTTTGTTTATCCCATCCCTCATCCTGAAATCTTTCACTCATTATGGAATTAACTTTCTGGGGTGAAGTTGGAGTGCTGGAGATCAAAGAGAATCCAGGGTCTTAAGCAAGACTATATCCCTGAGCCATATTCATCACTCATTAATGAACTTCATCTTTTGTTTGTTCTTTGGGGGATTTGTTTGTTTTTTGAGACAGGGTTTCTCTATATAACAGCCCTGGCTGTCCTGGAACTCTCTCTAGACCAGGCTGGCCTTGAACTCCCAGCCTCTGCCTCCACGGCCCAGCTTCTCTGGTCTCTTCTTATTTGGCACTAAATCCTATATCCACCTCCTAATATTGTCACACTGAAGTTTAACATAGGGTGACACAACGTTGCAACTATAAAAATCAAGGCTTTTTAATGCATGCATGTCAAAGCTCTTCCTCTACCCATTATCCAGTTACAAAACTACCTCCATGTCTTTAGATGTTATTTACAGTAGCATCCATCCTACTCAATATCAAATATGTACTAACAATACACCATAGAACAAGAGACTGTGGAATGGGGGTGTAGACAGTTGCTCATATAGCTGAGACTGACCTTGACCTCCTGATCCCTTGCGTGCATTTCTTAAGTTCTGAGGTTACAGGTGTTGTGTCTGGTTTCCATGTGGCTAAGACAACAGTAATTTCCTGGATCTGGTGTGGTAAGTTATTTGATAGGCCAAAGCAAGAGAATCTCAAGTTCAAGGCCAGCCTTGGCAACTTGGTGAGACCCTGTGTCAAAAAGTAAAAAGAGGGCCAGACGTCCTACCACTCAGGAGGCAGAGGCAAGCAGATGTTTGGGTTCTGAGGCCAACCTGGTCTACATAGTTCCAGAACAGCCAGAGCTTTACGGAGGAACCCTGTCTTTCCCCCGCCCCCCAAAAAAAGGGTTGGGGACATAAATCTATAGTAGAGTACTCAGCAAGTCTGTGCAAGGTCCTCCGTTTAATCCACAGTACAACAATCAAACAGAAGCCATGTTTTCTCAGCTCTGGAGGCTGAAAGTTCGTGTTCATTTTGTTTGATTGTCATGAGGCTGCTGCCCTTGGCTTGCAGATGGCTATGTCTCACTGTGTGTTCATAGCGTCGTCTCCCCTCTGTAAACCATGTCTATGTCCTAATTGCTTCATATCAGGACACTAGCCAGATTTTCATTCGAGCTCAACCTAACGGCCTCATTTGAATTCATTTCATCTCTTTAAAGGCGCTAACTCTAAATATAGTCATGATATAAGATACTGGGAATTAGAACTTAAGCATGATTTTTTTTGGAATTGCATTACTCTGATTAATCCTATATATCCCCCACACTACTACACACAGCCAAAGAAACTCCCAACACTCACTGTAAAAATCCCCACCACAAAGTCTAAAGATCCCCAGCTCTAGCCCTGCAGATATCACTCATTCATAGACCTCATCTTGACCCCATGGGCCTCATCACTAACTACATAATTCATATCACTCCACAGACTCCACACCATTCACCTGACAGAGCTTTCCCTGAATCATTTCCGGACTCCTACTCACTCATTCCACAGACTCACCCATCATGAACCTTTCAAAACTCTCACTCTATAGGCCTTTCCATTCACCTCCCAGATACCCTATCATAATTCATTCAGCTGTACCATTATTCCCCAAGCCCCAATCTCTCACAACATAATACCCTATCACTCACCTTATGGGCCAGCACAACAGTGTCTGTGGATAGCTATCACTCTACACAGCCCCTGCCTGTCAGCACCTCATCAGTCACCTACAGATCCCCAACCACTCTCCTTAAAAACCAACTACAGTCCCCTACAGACTCATTAGTTATTTGCACCATAGGCCCCATCATTAACCCTGTCCCTTACCTCTCAGTGCCCCTTATTCACTGTATAGATTCTCCACCAATGAACTTAACTATCACTACCCAAGTCCTCATCACCCAGCTTCCAGTCCCTTGATCACATTTAACACAGGCCTCGTCCCTTGACCCCACCAACCCTTGTTATGCCCTGTCTGTGTAAAGCAGGACTTCAGTTCAAATCCTGGCTTTATTCAGGCTTTTACTGTAACTTTGGAGAAATGTCTTTTTGAATAAGTACATCTCAAGATGCAGCAGGCATGGCAATAACAAGAATCCTACCAGCAGTCAAGAAATGCCTGGCCAGCCAAATGTTAAGACCAAAGTCCTGCATAAGTTCACCTCAATTCTTTCATTTCAAATGCTATCACTCAATGCCCTGCACAATGTAAAGACATGCTGACTTTGCTCAGCCTCACACACTAGGCACAGCCCCAATCTCTGACCACTGTGCTACCTACTCTTGGTTTTATTTTGGCTTTTGACCTTGAACTTGTTTCTCCACAGCCTTTAATACTACACTCACTTCTCAAAGGTGAGTGGTATGTAAAATACTACTATTAATATCTACCTCATTGAGGTTTTTTGTTGTTGTTGTTGTTTTTCCGAGACAGGGTTTCTCTGTGTAGCTTTAGAGGTTGTCCTGGATCTCGATCTGTAGACCAGGCTGGCCTGGAACTCACAGAGTTCCACCTGCCTCTGCCTCCCGAGTGCTGGGATTAAAGGTGTGCACCACCAACGCCCGGCCATACCTCATTGAGTTTTGATGAAATGAATTGATACATGAAGTCTGTCTAGCATATATACTTTGCATTTGTTGGCTAGAAGAATGAATAAACAGGGGCTGGAGAGATGGCTCAGAGGTTAAGAGCACTGACTGCTCTTCCAGAGGTCCTGAGTTCAATTCCCAGCAACCACATGGTGGCTCACAACCATCCGTTATGAGACCTGGTGCCCTCTTCTGGTGTGCAGATATACATGGAAGCAGAATGTTGTACACATAATAAATAAATAAAATCTTTTAAAAAAAGAATGAATAAACAAATAAAAGGGAAAGTTCTCCCCATAACAATAGCAAGGGCCTCCTGTTTATCTTCTTGCTTCCAGTATCTTTTTGTCTAAGCCCCCTGCACACCCAAGAAGAGACATCTTACTCTGTCAAAAAGGGTGTGTGCCAATGCCTTCAATGCTAATGGATTGATCATTCCACTTCAACGTAACTGAAATGAGAAAGACTGTCAAATTCTTTCACAGCACAAAAATCCACTAGTGAGCCAGGAGGTGGTGGCACATGCCTTCAGTCCCAGCACTCGGGAGGCAGAAGCAGTTGCAACTCTGTGAGTTCAAGGCCAGCCTGGTCTACAGATCCAGTTCCAGGACAGCTAGGGCTGTTACACAGAGAAACCCCGTCTGAAAAAAGAAAGAAAGAAAAAACACAAAGAGGCGGGGAAAGAGAAAATAAAAATCCAGGAGTACATATAGAGCAGGAGAAACATACTAATAAACCTAGCTGACTTCCAAAGAAAAGTCCCTGTTATTTATTGCTTCCAAAAAGTGGGATATATTTTGAATGTAGAATACCAAGGCAACCAATTATTTTAAAATATACCAAATTGAAATTGCATACTTGTCTAGAGAAGTTAACTGGGGATATAAATCAGAATCAGTGATCGAGTGATGGCTAACATGCCCTGAGTCTGATCTCCAGCAACCCATGGAGCCGGGCATGGTGGCACAACCTGTAATCCTAAAAAAAATCAGAAGGTCAAGGTTTTCTCCGGCTACATAGCAAGGCCAGCCTGTGCTACATGAGATCATTTTCTAAAAAAGTTGGATGGCTCCTTAGGTAAAAGTGCTTGCTGCCAAGCCTGATGACCTGAGTTTGATTCACAGTATTGACGTGGTGAAAGGAGAGAACTGACTACTGAAAGTTGGCCCCTGACTGTCACAGGCATGCTGTGGATATGCAGATGCACAATAAAATGTAAGAAA